CTTAATAGCCTTGATTTCAGGGATTGCGAGGTTCCGGAACCACTTCTTAATAATATCAGATGTAGCACCTGAAACTCGTGCAGAATCGATTTGATGTTGCTTCTTAGTTCCAATATTAGGATGCCTTCGAAAAAAGCTATGTATCCATTTCTTTCCAAGTGAGGGATCCTCCCCTCGTACAATAAGGAGGTGCTCTGCCATCTCTCTGATTTGACGATGTGTAGGGCTAGTACCAAGAGCTTCCTGTACTAATATCCATTCTGCTAGTCGATTCTCCTGAATTGGAGATAACTTTTGAAGTATTTGGGCGCCTTTTTGATGCGAAACTCCACCATATATTCGATCGTGAAGTGTGGTACGTGGAACACCATAATCCAAGCTAGCTCTTCGTATGCTTGCTCCATTTGTAATCGCTCTAAGAGCCTCTGCGATATCTTCTTCGGTATATCTATTCTTCATATCACAATTATAATAATATCAAAATTTCAAATCAATTGATTAAAGCATTGTTGAGTTATTCAAAGTATAAATTTTATAATTACTCAAAGCGGTGTGGTTTTTGAGGTGGTCGGAAAGTGGGGTAGTTGACTTATTGAATTGGTACTTGAAGCAGAAATGGTGCTCAAAGTGTTACGGGAGCTGCCTCTAGGGTCACGTGGAAGTGTCTAGAGATCTCTCGAGGTGGTTTAGACTAGACTTCAAGTAGGAATTCAATAAGGTTGGTAACTGGTTGCAATTCTCGTAACTATAGTAATGAAACTAATGATTGTTCTTGAGCACGAAGCTCTACATTGTAATGAAACCCATTCCCTTATATAGACCTTCTTGCTCAGTGTGATCAGTACGGCTCAGTACTGGTTTGTTTGTACTTTCATGGCTCAGTGTCTATCCCGCTGAGGCAGACTGAGCCAACCACGTGACTTAGTGCCCCAGTCCCGTGCCTATGTTGCGTCGTTCGTAACATAAGCATTCCTCCTTAATATAATTAGGTTTTTTTCGTATATTAACATTTACTTAATACTTCATTTGTTATCTAAAATATATAATTCTTTATATTTAAAAGTATATTTTTATAAGCTAATCTTTTTGTACTTTTAATTAGAATTAATATAATCTCAAATATAGATATAGGGAAGCTTATTTAATAACAAGTTATTTGAGATTTAATTAATATTGATTAAGAAAGAGTTTTAATTAGGTTATAAAAAGTTTAAGAAATCCATTAATTTAAATTGAAAGAAAGGGAAGTAAATATATAAATTCGAATATCTAATTTCGAGAATATAGCTTTAGAATTGAATAGAATTAAACTTGTTCTTTAAAATCTTGATTTCATATTCTGAGAAATGATTGATTCTTTATATATAGTTTTAAAAGCTATAAAGAATTTAATCTTTGAAATATAATTAATATGTATTTTAATAAATCTATCAATTTGATTATTATATAAACGTTTTAAATTACTAAAATAATTAATATCAAGTGATTGAATTAAATAACTTGAATATAATAGTAAACATAAATATATAATATTATTCTTTTTATAGTATACTTGAAAAGCTATTAATTTATAGTTTTTATGCTTATCTAGTATTAATATTTAATATTTGCTTTTTCTTCGATTCTTAATATACTTATTGAAGTATTTCAATCATTTTAAATCCATCTCATTATTTGTTTACTTATTAGATATAGGTTTAATAGCTCATTCTGTAGGAAGATTGATTTTAATATATTAATTAGAGAGATAGATCTATTCCTAAATCATTAAAAATAAGGGAATAGTTTCGCTCTCTTCATTTCCATATATTATTGCTATAGTTCATTCTCGATCGTTTAACTATATAGATTTACTTTTACCATATCTCTTAGTACTAATAATAACTATTACTATATATATATAATTCTTATTATAAAGTCTATTTCATTGAAATTATAAAAATCTTTGTTTAAAATACTGTATTTCGTTTATATATTTATAATTAATCGAAACCATTCTTTAATAAACTTAAGATTCTTACAAAAAACTTTTTAAAAATTATAAATATAATTAAAACGTGTTTTTAATTTGATTCGATGTTTTATAAATCAATATACCTAGAGCTTCTCAATATATTTCGTATCCTTTAATTTAAGAATATAATTCGCTATATCTTTTACATTCTTAAGTTTAAATAAAAAACCTTTCAAATTTATATTAAGAATATATTGAATAAATATTTCCTCTTTTAATTCAATTAAATTATAACTTTTTAATCAACTCTCAACCATATTAGATTTACCTTGAATTCTATTACCCAATATAATTCAAGGTATATAATAAAGTGTTACGGGAGCTGCCTCTAGGGTCACGTGGAAGTGTCTAGAGATCTCTCGAGGTGGTTTAGACTAGACTTCAAGTAGGAATTCAATAAGGTTGTAACTGGTTGCAATTCTCGTAACTATAGTAATGAAACTAATGATTGTTCTTGAGCACGAAGCTCTATATTGTAATGAAATCCCATTCCCTTATATAGACCTTCGTTCTCTGTTGTCCCACTGCTTCCCACTGTGTCCCACTGGGCCTTACTCAGTGGGACTCAGTGGGACACCTTGGTCAGGTGATATTTTAATCAATCTAGTCATGTGACGACCTCGGTCGTAACATAAAGCTGAGCTGTCTTTCGAATTGATAATTTTTTATCTGATTTAATAGCTTAAATAGTTAAGATTATATGTGCTTCTTTGGAATGAATTTTCATGATTAATTATAAAGAAAACGTATATTAAATATAGAATAATAATTCAAGGTAAAAATGACCGATCCACTGATATAGCAGACCCACTAACAAACTACGTTACATAAAAGAAATAAACGTTTTAATATATTAGAATATTGAGGTATTAGTAAGAATGATTTATAAAATTAGAAATTTTCGAAAATGAAACAGATGTAAATATATTATACAACTTTGAATACATAAAGGTTGATGGATTTATGTTACGGGAGCTGCCTCTAGGGTCACGTGGAAGTGTCTAGAGATCTCTCGAGGTGGTTTAGACTAGACTTCAAGTAGGAATTCAATAAGGTTGGTAACTGGTTGCAATTCTCGTAACTATAGTAATGAAACTAATGATTGTTCTTGAGCACGAAGCTCTACATTGTAATGAAACCCATTCCCTTATATAGACCTTCGTTCTCGTCTGGATAGCTTGGGTAGACTGTCTATCCTGTCTATCCACGGATAGCCTGGATAGCTTGCCTATCCTGTCTATCCATCACGTGACACTTGCCCCGTGACCTATATGATACTACTGCTTATCTAACCTGTGCTTACTAGATAACCTGTAACCGCTATCCCTCCTGTGCCTACTGTAGGATAGGTGCCAACAAAAGATAGGTACCTATCTTTTAATCATTGCTTATTGATTCGGTTACCGCTATCTTTCGTTACCCTTTAATCCAACTGTCCCTACAGTGCTGTTTTCGTAGGTTCCAACACCAAGGCCTTAGGTTTATCTTATAATCCATGTTGCGGTGCGGGTACCTCCGTAACAATTTAATCTGAGCTTTTCACATTCTCATAAAAGAATTAAAGGTTCATAGAGAGCACTGCGTACAGGTGTTGAATCTTTCGCCCTCCAGGAGAAGAGAGGAGAGGAGTGAGTGAGAAGAGAAGAGTGGATTGATTATGTAATTGATGGTTATGCATTTGATGGTTGTGTTTGTGATAGTAAATGATTTTGGGTATTCATGGCTAGGTAGGTAAGGTTTCCACCATACCTACCTGTGGCTGTGGCTTTGATTGTGGTTTTGGTGGTGGAAGAGGTGTCTGTCTCTATCTTACTAGGTACTGGATAGGTACTGGATAGGGACTCAAAATCGTGAATGACTCAATTGTTATTATTCGATAGTATCTGAGGAAGGAGGAGGAGAAGGAGAAGGGAAATCACTTTTGAGATTGGGTCTTCCTAGATAAGTATTAATATTTACTAGATATTAAATTGGATCTTTCGAGAGGTGGGAATTAGAGATCTTTTGTAGTGTTCTCAATAGAATTACGATAAGATATACTCACTCGTAAATACAATACGAATTCATATTTATTATGGAATTCGGAATTGGGTATTGTCAATTATTATGTGGATAAAATCTGGAGGTAGAGAAATTATAGTTATATAATAAAAATTATATTTCAAGTAACTACTCACTCAATATAGTTATATAGTTATATTAATTTCTTTCTCGGTTGAGTTAACCACCTTTTTACTTGTGTTGTGACTTCTTCACCTTTTTCCATCTACCTACTACTATTAATTACTTGATGCATAGACCGACCAACCAGCCAATCAACCAACCAGAAAACAGAACAAAACACCTCAATTTCCATCTTCCCAATCATCATCCAAAACTCTTCCACGACGTCGTTATCAACCCACAACCATACGCACTTCCATTGAAATACGAGCAAGTCACATCCATCAATTCCTAGTATTGGTATTGGTATTGGTATTGGTATTCATGAGGAGATGCAGTAAGGTTAGGTGATCCTTGATGATTCCAACAAGGAAAGAGTCTGAAACAAAAGAAAGATTTCGTGAGTGATTTGTTCAAGCCCCCCTCCCCCCTCCCCTGGGAAACACCAGCCACGACCACCACCTGGCATAACTTTCTTGGAGATATGGATCCATTAGACACGGCGTGATTGATATGACAGACAGCACATGTTCTCTTTTCTTGATTCAATCTGCATTTGCAAGATAATCGACGATACCAAAAGATGTAATGATGTCAACATGTCAAGGTGTCAACATGTCAAGATGTCAACATGTCAAGATGTGGCTGACTGATTGGAGATTTGGTATTGTAGTTTCGTGGATCCCTCAGATATCAGCCTCAGAAAGTATCATCTCAAGCTAATTATTCATTCAATTCAGCAAGGCATCGATCTTGGAAACTTTTGGGGGATTCCTCTCCAAAGTACACACACACACACCACCCACCCACCCAACATTCCAGCAAAGACACACATACACACATACACACATACACACATACACACATACACACATACATACATAAATACATAAATACACCATCAGGAATACCAATAGATTCAATCTATCATGGAGGTATGAAGAAGAATTTTATTTATTTTATCGGATTTCGTTTTACGCACGTTCTTTATCTTACATTCTCCTAAATCCCTTTTTACCTCTTCCCTTTTTACCTTTCACCTCTTCCCTTTTTACCTCTCCCTCTTCCTTAAAAATTCAAGATTGCTCGTTGACATTCTTTGCCCTTCCCGGGGATGTGGTTCTTATCATGAGTGGTACCAATATTTGCATTTATTCTCAGGCCACGATTTTTTGTCTCTGCTTTGCGACCTTGGATTGAAAATGTGACGAGTGTTGGCTCCACTAGGTACCCCTTTGCTTTTTCTCTTTTTCTCTTATAATGTCTATTGTTTTCTTCTTTCTCTTCTTCTTCTTCTTCTTCTTTTCGCCAATCTGGTGGTGTGGTAGTACATATCATTTACATATATAAGGAAACCTGAAGTTTCAATGATACCGAAGGAGTCGAGATTCATTATTGTTGGCTTTTCTTATTGCCTTATTCCATCATCCTTTACATACCTACGTATATTGGAGTGAAGGATACATTATTCAAAATTCATATTACCTTGACCAGTGTCACTCACAGGATTTCAAAAGAGTCATTCTCGTGTTAGGATTCTGTGCATACCCGTTTCTAGATTCCTCTATACAATTTCGAATTTGGAAGGCCGAGTACAACTTGGTACTTATCCGAGACTTTTGGATGAGTGCCAGCCTTTGACGTTGGACAAACAAACGGTGGAGGTTGGCTTGGAGTTTTTCATTCATACTTTGGCAAGGATGGTGGGATTCTATTAGGAGTTGGGGGTTGAATGATTGTTGTGTTCTAATGTTCGTTGGGTGTTGATCTTTTTTTCGGCAAACAACATCTCACCACAGACAAGAAGCAAATATAGGGATTTCATTCAGCTGATATCACATTATCTTTTTACAACTTCATGCTATCACATCTTTTCTATCACCTAATCACTTATTTCTGTATTACTCATTCGCAAAGTTGCAATTATTACTTGTACGATATTTGTTTCATTGTTTCTTTTTAATATTAGTCAAATGTCTACTTCTACTACTTCTACTACTTCTTCCACCTCTGTTCTACAGATAGGGCGTAGACGTACCAAGGAGAATCAAACCTATAATGGTCCTCCTAGAATGAGTCCTGTTCGATATATTAGTCCAGCATCACTAAATCTTGAATTTCTTCATGAACAGAATCGTGCCGCTCTCCAAAAGAAGGATGCGACCAAGGTAGTTGATCCAGCACCTGGTGTTGCCGCAAAAGGCAAACCTAGATTATTATTGATGGGTCAAAGAAGGTGAGTCATAATACAAGATATCAGTGTTAAAGAAACTATTTACTAATCTTCTACAGATCTGGAAAGTCTTCGATATCTAGCGTTGTATTCCATAAGATGCCTCCAAATGAAACCCTCTTTCTCGAATCTACCGCAAGAATTCAAAAAGATTCCATGCAGTAAGTCAGAATTTTCTGTTATGATGGTACCTACTAATATAGTCAAGTTCCTTCATGGATTTCCAGGTTTGGGATTTTCCAGGTCAAATCGATTTCCAAGATGCTCAATTCGATGTTGATGCGATATTTGGTGAAATTGGTGCTTTAATTTGGGTTATCGATGCTCAAGATGATTACTTGGAGGCCATTGCTCGTCTCAACAGCACCATCTATAACCTTCATCAATCTTTCCCAAACATTAACATTGAAGTATTCATTCATAAAGTTGATGGTTTATCAGATGATTATATGCTCGATATTCAACGCGACATTATGCAACGGATTCAAGATGAACTCTCGGATCAAGGAATGGAAAATGCACCTGTCAATTTTCATCTCACATCTATCTACAACCATTCTATCTTTGAAGCCTTTAGTAAAGTCATTCAAAAATTGATTCCTCATCTTGCTACTCTCGAAGCTCTTCTTAATGATCTTTGTCGCAATTGTCGTTTCGAAAAAGCATACCTCTTCGATGTTCTCTCAAAGATATATATCGCAACCGATTCATCTCCAGTCGATATGCCATCGTATGAAATCTGTAGCGATTATATCGATGTTATCGTCGATGTATCCGAAATATATGGATATCAGCGATCTCCGGAATATATTTCGAAATTAGAAGGACCACCATGGAATAAGAAATTGGAAGATCAAATAGCATGTAAGGATGCGGAAAGTGTGATTGTACTTACAGCGGATAAGAGACCAATTATGTTGAGAGAGGTTAATAAGTATTTGGCATTGGTGGCGATTATGAAGGAGGGTAGTTATGAGAAGATGCCGTTGGTTACGATGAATGTGGAGACGGTGGTGGATGGGTTGACGAAGGTTTTTGAGATTACGAGACAAAAGAAGTGAGGTGGGGCGCGTGGGGTGAGGGAACGTGGGGTTCAGGATTAGGGTTTGGGAGAAGTTTGGAGGGGGATGGGCAGGGAGAGAAAAAGCTTGTGGAATGATGGGTTGAGAGTGAGAGTGAGATTGAGAGTGAGAGATTGAGATTATGGTGTTTTTTCCCAATTTTTGCTCAAGAACGAATATTTTGTTATACTGTGATGGAGGGGGAAAGCGGCGATGGGGATGGAGGAGAAATAGAGGGGTAACAGGGGAGATATATGGAGGGAATAAGAATATGGAGAGGATAGCAAGTGAAGCTGCAGAATCCATCTGTATGTGTATGTGAGAGATGAGTTCACTGAACTTTGTCAAGACTGGATAGGAAGTATAAATAACTACCATACAATACAATGCGATGAATAGCGCGAGCTATGAAATATTAAGTCACTATGGTACGATAGGCTATGATATGATATCGTTGTGATGTTGTAACATTGTGATATTGGAGTTGGTGATTTATTTGATTTAGGGAGATGTGGGTGTGTTGAACATTGGGTACTAGGCAAGTAGGTAGGTAGGTATTAGGTAGGTATTAGGTAGTATTATATAAATAGAAACTGGTCGGTGATTTAGGTTTGGGTAGATGGGTAGTTTTGTTTGAGGGGGGGAGTGGATAGTGAAGGGTGAGTAGATAGTGAAGGGTGAGTAGATAGTGGAGGGTGAGTAGATAGTTTGGGCTGGATAGATGGGTGATGGGTGGATAGCTTAGGGTAGGATGGGATGAGTGGATAGTTTAGAGTGGGTAGTTTAGAATGAATAGTTTAAAGTGGATAGTTTGAGTGAATGGGTAAAGAGGTGAATGAAGAAGTGAGGGATAGGTGATGAGTGAGTAGATAGCTTAGGCTGGATAGATGGGTAATAGGTGGATAGATGGGTAATGAGTGGATAGCTTAAAGTAAAGAGGGGAAAGTTCAAGGTGAAGAGAATCAATGAATAATTTAGAATAGATAGTTTAGAAGAATGAATAGAGGAATAAATCAAGGGAGAAAGAATATAGAATAAATAAATAGATAGTCTAAACTGAATAAATAAATAATAGGTAAATAACTTAAAGTACAGAGTGAAAAGTTTAAGATAAAGAGAATAAATGAATAAATAGTTTGAATAAATAGTTTGAATAAATAGTTTGAATAAATATTTTGAATAAACAGTTTGAATAAATAGTTTGAATAAATAATTTAAATAAATAAGTAAATGAATAAATAAATAGTTTAGATTAGAGAGATAGATAATAGGTCAAATAATAAATGAATGAATAGTTTAAAGTAAAAAGAAAAAATAAATATTTCAGATTAAAAAGATAAATAATAGGTCCAATAAGTAAATAAAGAATAAATAATTTTAAATGAAGAATAAAAAGATTTAAATAAAAAGAATATATAAATAATCTAAAATACATAGTTGAATATATAAATAAAGAAATAAATAAATAAAGAAGTAAAGATTAAGTAATAAGTGAGTAGATAGCTTAGACTGAATAAATGAGTAAGACGTGAATTTGAATTTGAATAAGTATCGTCTCATATGACTTTCCTCGAATGTGATTGATAACCTTAAGATGGGAGCTGGATGACTTTCATATTGAGATGATTCTGCTAACCTTTTGACGAAATCTCTCACAGCACTGACGGATCGTTTCGAGATGTTCAGCAGAGTTTACATACATATTAATCGACTCTATGAGTGAGAACTACGGGGAATACCTTCTGGGAAAAGGCTATATGTCAACAAGTGAGAAATATAATCTATTCCTCGGGTTCGGAGTAAATCGATCAACAGCTTGTAATAGTCCCTCTCGCTCTCTCGCTACTCGCGCATCATTATTTGCCTTTGCGAAACTATCATCACATCAGAAATCAATATTTTCCAAAAGAATTTGGAAAAACCAAGAGTACTTGCATCATAAACAAAGACAAAAATTCACTGTAATTTCTATAAATGTATTCTTATTCGTGGGGTGTATAGTGTGCAAGAATCTCAGTCTGTAAGGGGGTCTACTAATACTACTCCAACGACTTATCACATACACGCTATACTTATAAAAATAGGCAAAGCCTCAGAGTATGAACGATGATCCCCCCCCAAGGCTTTGAGAAAATATAGCGATTTTCTATACCAAGAATCGCAAAGAAAGGATGCAGAAGAAACTGATAGCTTGCCCCTTCGCGGGGATTTTACAATCTTACAATTTATTCGAACGAGATGCATCTGTACTCGGGGCATTTTGAATACTTGACATTCGAGGCATGGAAACAGAATCCACGTATCTTCTTTCTTTCCGTGTCGCCTCAAGTAGACAGCGACATTTCGATTGAATCTAGTGTGACAAGTCTGTATGCACTATTTTGAATCTTGATGCCCGAAAATATGAAATGAGTTATGGATAGGTTTCTAAAGGTGTAAAGTGTCAAAGTTCAGGGGTTAGAAAATGAACTTACGAGCAACTCATATCTGCATGATTGCACTCGTGAATAAGATAGGGGAAGAAGGTAATGCAAAGGTATAGATAGGTGGGTCAAGCTAATAGGAAATTTCAGAGGGCAAGAAAGATGGTATGAAGCACGTAAAGATCGCAAACCCATTCTCGTTGAAGTTTCACGAAAGAAACTATTCATTAGTATCATTACATTTATTTCCACACATACACCATCCAGTTCATCATTTATCCCCTTCCCGTTATAAAGTACACAATATCATCTTCATCTTCATCTCCAGCTCCTCTTCATGGCACCATCTAGCATTTTTCCAAACTTTGTTCGACTCTTTTCCTTGCCTCTTTCTCATATTTAATTGTGATTTTTCGAGACGCTTTTTCATTGGAATAAGTAACAAATTAATTAACAACCTGCTGCAACACTATGTACAATAACGACATCCATATCCCGAAAATGGAAAGAGAATTGAGTACCGGGTATCGATTAGTACAAAGGTGTCGAATGCTTTCAACTTTGGCATAAAGCCTGTGTAATAACTCCAGATCATGACTCCCGGGTATCATAAGTGACAATACTCTACCTATTAAACGCCCCATATGTGTGGAGTACTTATGATATCTTCCGTACACATCTCCAAACTCCATATTATACCAGAAATATACCTCCACCATTCCTCTCACCACAAAAGTTGAACAAGTTCAACTGTTCCCCAAAATCTCCCCCCAACATCTCCCCCCATCATTCCCCCCCGACCCCCCCTGACCCCCTCAACGAATAATCTTCCACCTCCCCTTCCCCAGCCCAAACACCATATCATACCCAGAAACATCCATCTATCCACCATTTCTTCGCCACCAGAAAGTCAAATAACTTGAACTCCCCCCTCTCATCTCCCCCCATCTCCCCCATCAACGAATAATCTCCAACCTCCCCCTTCCCGGCTCAAACACCAAATCCTCCAACAAAACCGTCTCCCCACTCCCCCCACTCTCCGCATACACTCTATCCCTCGCCAAACGATCATTCCTCTCACTCTCTTCAAGAAGGACCTCCTCCCCCCTCTCCATCCCCTCATCACTATCCGCACCGTTCCAATTACTCGGAAGTGCAGAATGATATTTGTTCCCACTGCGTCTATCGTATTTAACACCCGGTGTGCGTCTCTTAACCGTAGGATGGAATTCTTCTTTTTCCGGGAGAGAAATCGCAAGGCCATCTGCGAAAGTGGCGAGGAAGTCCGAATCGATGTCTACGTTTTCGGGCTTTAGAGCATATTGCAAATCACCCTCTTCGCCGCGCTGCGAAGGATTTCTATACATTTCTTGTTTCTGGGCCCATTTAAGCGTTGTCCTTAACTTCGCCACAGTATCGACGGGACATTCGAATCCTTGATCATAAAGCCATCTCGTGAGATGATTTTCTTCTCTCGGCTCTCGATGAATCAGCGAACCTCTCTCCAATTCCCGCTCGCAGCGATTCTTCATCCCCAACAAAAACATCATCGGAACCGGTTTCCACATCCCCTTATAATCATTCATATCCGTCTCATCCAACAAGATAGGTAATTCGGCTCCACTCCCCTTTCTAAAAGTTTCTCCATTGCTGTATCGAAAAACATCGGCCGGCGGATGAGTCGCCCCCGTTCCCGGGAACGGCATTGCAAAGATCGAAACACAGCATCTCGGACGCCCACCAATCATAAACGAGCGACCGTGACGAAATTGCCAGATCCTGCCTGCGTCGTGGGACATGAGATCGCGTTGGCGCATGGCTGCCACTTCGGCGAGACTGATTTCGACTCGCGCGGGGCTTTTCCCGTGGTTGCCCCATTTGAGGACGCGGCCGGCGTCTTTGCCGTGGTGTTGCCAAATCCAGGAGGCTTTGTGGCCGGTAGAGGGAGATTCAAGGTAGCCAGGGGTGCCGAAGACGGAGTCGAATTGTTGGATGGTCCAATGGACAGTGTGGCTGAATTTCTCAAGCATGTAAGCTGCCCATGTGAATTTGAGGGTTAGGAGAGTGGGACAAGAGTCGACAGGGCCGAGGAGATCGCAGATTAGAGCGAGCCATTGGGTGCGACAGCCGGCGTTGACGGTGGGTTCGATGTGGAGATATGTGAGGTTTTGCGCCATGCGGATGATTCGGGCTGTGCGGTCGAAAGTTGGGGAGGTGGAGGGGAGACTATGTGGTTGTTAGTCTGTGCTATAACATTGTACATACTGAAAACAATAGAGATGGACCCAAAGAAAAGAAAGAAAAAAACATACCCATCAACCGGCCCCGAGGTCGAAGTTGAAAGCGGAACCTCAACATGCAATCTCTGAAAAGTCGACGCCAACAACACAACTCTCAAATCAATATATCTAACCCCCCCACTCTGAACAAAATATCTTCCCAACCAGTGATTTTTATAAGTCAACAAAAAGGTATTCGATTCATAAAAAATAGCGAGAGCTTCTTTGTAGAGTCCCACATCTGTGCGTAATGCGGCTAGGAATCTGCGGGCTATTCGTCGAGTATCAGGTTCTTCCCATGTACCTTGGAGGAGGAGACGATAGATCATATGACGGAGCTCAAGCGGAAAGGTACGAAGAGATTTAGAAGATGCTTTTCCTTGAAGGGAAGCCATCTTTGTTGTTGTGGAAAGTGCCATAAGTAAAATGTTGTGGTTGATGCAACGTGAAAATCTTTGATGATTGATAAATTGTTTATTTCGAGGGCAGATATAAAGGTCATTATGAGTACGGTCGGGAAGAGAGTGGGAAGAGAGCAGGCAGTTCGACCTAGTTATAAGCCGAGCCAGTGACAAATTTGCTCATACGGAAAGTGATAGAAATTTTTCAGAAGTGAATAAAAAAAGTGAGTCAAGTGCATGTTGAGACGATAATGGTTGAGGTGATAGTGGAAGCTGTAGTATTAAAGAGACTTGAATAATCTTATGATATGTGATGGTCAGAAGAGGATACAATCAACTTGGATTGTGTCTATGTATATTCATCCATTACTCCCCTTGACTTATTGTGCCTTCTTGATATCCGCAACCTTTCCCTTTGACACTTTATTATATCCTTGCCCTCTCCAAACTCCCAATAAACACCATACAATCCATAAAAAGCCCAAGGAAACCACGCTAGCGGTTCCAATCTCCACCCAATTACTTTTATTTAAATCTAATACTGGAACAGTGACAGTATTCATCAACCTACCATCAGATACGGCTACTGGCGAGACATGATAGAACATAGTTTGTGGCCCAAATAGACCATCATAACCTAGATTGACCCTATCAAAAGGATTACCGGAGAATTTGCTACCTTCATCTGCTGTACATGCCCAGAAGACTATAGGATGAGGAGTCTCGATAGGTGTATATCCATTTGTGTTGTTGGTAGGAGATAGATATCGCAAATGAAGAGGAATTTCTGCCGTGAAAGATTGGGTAGACTCAGGTGGCGCGAGTTCAAGTAAAAGAGTAGAACCCCAAATGTTCATTGCATAGTCTGGAGCTTCAAGATCAACTGGGGATGTAACGTGGCGAAGAGCTTTTAGGTTCTTAGATGCGAGGAAAAGAGGATCAGATAACTGATATTTATCGGGAAAGACGGTACGAGGTAAAGTTAGATGTGTGTGTAATGAACATTCCCGGTCTGAAACAGGTGGTTCGCTGGAGCTGATCATGAGTTGTAAAGTAGGATGAAGCCCAGAGGGTTCCATGAATGAAGAAGTGAAGAATGTGTCTGTGGTATGGTGTCTAGCTGGGAAAGCGAACAATGTAGGAGACGGCTTGGAATCTTCGCCAACTACAGTTAAGAAGCCACCTAATGAGAGTTCCTCAGGCTGTAAAGGTGTTTCGACTGAGAGTATACCGACCTCTAGCCGATGATTTGATGCTGTGTTTGTAACCTCAAGCTCCCAGGTTTGAGGTTCCCAAAATGCAACCATATTCAAAGCATGAGATATTGTGTCAAAATCTATATCAACGTAAGATGCATAGTCAAGACGACCGGCTCTTGAACGACACTCTTTATCTGATTTACCGCAAACACTTTGCTGTATATATTCGATGAATGTTGTGAGATCCTCAAGGGGTTGATAATATTGTGTTGCAGCATTTGAAGCAAATCGTTCCACAGATAATTTGGTGAAAGACTCCTAAAATCGATTAGAAAGTATCTTATGTTCATTGGCAACGTAGAGCTTACTGTGGGAGATACACAATCCAGATTTCCAAATACTTTCTTTAAAGCAGGACATAAAAGATCACTACACAGTTTTAGCATATATGATGGATGGACAATGTAAACACATACGGGCTTCTGCTATTTCGCTGCGGACTGTAAAACACGTGAAGACCTGGAGAAAGTCTTGACAGTAGAGGTGAAGCTGTGTCATATTGATTCGAGCTGACCCAACGGATATGAAGCTCATGAGATGCCTTTAACACTTTATATATCTCTTCAGGAAGCTCGCTAAAGCTAAAGGTAACTCGATCCTCTCTCGCAGCCTTTACCCGTCCTGCTGTGAGAGAGTCTTGAGAGATTTTAATATATTGAGGGTCAACTGCATCTTGAGGCTGTTGTAGGAAGGTTATTCTTTGCCGCATGATGATTGATGGAATTTGTGTGTATGTTTTGGTACTTGAAGTGAGGTCTAATAAATATCGAGTTTATATACTCGAACTAGGTCTCATGTGTTGAGTTGGCAAGTGTATTCATTCATGTGATTCAATGTGTGTCGGCAGTATGAGACCCCTACTAGGCGGTGAGCTAAACTACGCAAGGCTGATTTATTTCACAACTTCCGCCACCAAAGGAAAATACCTAGGTACCTAGGTAATAACTTGTTTCGTTACACTTGCCTTGAATGAATATCTATGTTGATGATCTGTCCTTTCTTACGAGGATTTATGTCTTTCGCATCGCTTAATACCGTTCTTCTTTCTGCAAATACCATGAGGAATAACTTTTGAAAACATCCAAAATCATTAAGTTACAGCAAAGATGCTCTTTTTACCATTTCTTTACCCGGCTCTGCTCACCCTCCTCACATTTACCCCTCTTACCACAGCTGTCTCCAAACCCAAAAATGCCATCTTACTATCAAAAGTAAAGACTCTCACTCTACGCGACAATGCGCAAACATCTCATCGACGAGTTTCAGCTGTTCCACAGCTATCCTGTAGCGGCCCTGGATGTCGACATTACAAAGTTGACGTCATGCGTTGTACCAACCAAGGATCTGATTATTCTTCCGAAGATATTCAATGGTCCTGCACTGCGAATCTTCCAGAGGAATTTAAGTTAGGAAGTACGGATGTTATATGTGAGGGATATGATAGTAAGGATGATGAATACGTGTTGAAGGGTAGTTGTGCCGTGGAATACAGGTTGTTATTGACGGAAGAAGGTGAAGCAAAGTACGGAAAGAGCTTTTGGGACGATGGAAGTGGAGATAGCTCTGTAGAGAAGGGCATGAGTTTGTTATTCTGGTTGATATTCGTCGGAGTTTTGGGATGGATTCTTTACTCCATGGTTCAGAATTGGAGACAAGGACCCGCTAATGGTCAAGCGGGAAGAGCTGGGGGAGGAGGGGGGTTTGGAGGATGGGGAGGAGGAGGACCCGGAGGACCAGGCGATGACGACCCCCCACCACCTTATCCAGGAACTGGAAAACGATCTACAAGAAACTATGGTGCTACTGAACAAGCGTGGAGACCTGGATTTTGGTCTGGTGCGGCGGCAGGTGCTGCTGGTGGTTATTTTGCAGGCAACAGAGCGAACAGACAACAAAATCAAGGTGGTAACAGCTGGGGCGGCGGAGCTGGAAGTGGCTGGGGTGGAGGTTCTGGATCTGGAAGCTCAAGCGCAAGCTCTCCCTCTACCAGTACTCGCTCAAATACTGGATTCGGCTCTACATCTAGAAGATAGGTACCCTAGCAATCTGGACGAGTGAAGCACCTCATTTCTAATCGCCCTGCTTCTCGACAGAGGGAAATGATTGAAGAATATAGTGTGATTAGGTTGGGCGTCTTTTACAGTAGAGCTATCTGAATTTTACCTCTTTGGAAAGAATCATAATTACTTTTCACTCCACAGTCTTCTACCTCTCATTCCATCCCGACCGCGCTAGACAAATTATGCAAACTCACTCACTGCAATGTCGATTCTTCTTGAAAACATAGTTATTTCTTTCTATTAGAGCTATTTGATCTGCCAACTATGCAGTTTTCCCACTGCATCGATAACCAAGGGAAAGAGCATAACCCCTACCCTGGTCAATCGATTCGCTATCTTAAAGTACAAAGTCCATTGCTATCTGCTTCTATTTCAGAAATTTCCTGATTGAAACAAGAAAAAAGGACTTCATCACACATAATGTGAGGGGGCAAAAAAATGGTATACATGGGGACAAATTCCTTTTCACTCAAGCAAAAGCCACTCCTCGCTCAAATGTGCAGTGTGGCACTTCGTCACACTTCCTGAAACAAAAATCATACAACTTCCCAATAACCTAAATTAAATCCTTGTCTTGAATTCGAAACTGCCATATTACATATGAACAGTCATGACATCCAATTTGTCGAAAGGTTTAGCGCAATTAGGACACTTTCTCATACGGTTGGAAATCCGATCATCCACGCACGAATTGCAGAAGAGATGTCCACATGTCTTCAAAACAGTGTTCTTGAAGTTTGCACGACAAACGGTACACAATGCAAGAGCCTATACTGTGTTAGTAATTGATCATGAACGAAAACGATAAAAGACTTACTCTAAGCATTTCCTCCTCACCAGATTGATTGCTCAAGCTCTTTTGTTTCCATGTATCTCGATCTTTTTGAACCTGTTCACATCGAACCCGAAGTTGTTCATTCTCTAGCTCCACCGCGTGAATCTTTTGTTTGGTACCAGAGTTCGCGGAATCCTTGGATTTGAGGAGGTTGGTCAGTTCTGCTGCTTGGTTCTTTAGGCTTTCACATTTGCTTGTGGCCTCTCTACTCGATGCCTCTAACTTCTTGTTCTCAGCCAAGATAGCTGCATTGGATTGTCTCATATCACTTAGTTGTTTCTCCAAATTGCTCAACAGAGTTCGATCAGATGTCTCTACATCCTTGAGTTGGGAGATTATCTCGGAACTTTTAGCGTTTTGATTCTTCAAAGTTCGAACTTCTGCGAGGCGAATATCCATATCCTTTCGGGCCGCGAAATATTTTTGGTCAGCTTTGCTCTTTTCAGCAGCCAAAACCGAAACCTTTTCTTCGAGAGCCGTGAAGTCCATTACTTTCTTGCTCGTCAAGGCCTGGACTCGCTTGTACGCGGATTGGAGGGCAGGTAATTCTTTGTTGATCGAGTCATAACCTTGTTGAAGAAGATCATACTTGACACGCAATTCTTCGAGATTTAATGAATCTATCTCCGGTCCTGGTGTGGGTTGACATGATTGCTCGGCGATTTGTCTCAAACGTTCGACTTCAAGTTCAAGAGATGCGATGCGATCATCCTTGGCTCCAACCAATTCTTTCAAATGCTCGACTCCTGCATCATCCTGGTCCTGCTTGGCTTTTCGCACGCTAAGGTCGGCAAGTAACTCATCTCGGGCAGAGCGAATCCTCGTCAAATCGGCATCCAGGCGTTGAAGTTGACTTTCTAGTTC